CAAATTTATTATTTTTACATTAGATATTCTATTACTTTCTCTGAGAAAGTCATCCCATGTCACCAAGTAACACACATTCTCATGTTCAGTAATGTAGCTCTCATTTTGAGGTGCCATCAGCCCAAAATACACTTTCACAACTTCATGTGAGAAAACCTTTTAAAAACTATTTCTTTTCAAAATCTTGAGGGAGTAAATTAGATCTGTACTTTAAAAATCAATTCCTACATTACCTAATCTTCATAATGTAAGCACAGTTACATTGACATTTCAGTATTTTTGTTAGTGGAACCTTCTACAATCAGCATGTAAAACATCTAAATTTGTATAGCAAAGACCTGGCCCTAAGGAAGAATGTTAATTTCTAATTTGCTGGCTATCTTCAATGACTGATTCCTGTTGTGGGTATTCTCTTCTATAAAAAAGACTGTAATGTGTGACTTACCCCCATATGAAATCTTGTAGTAGGCATAAGCTGTTAATGCTACACCAACCCATATTTCTTGATACACAGTAGAAAAGTAGAATTTCATGGGTCTCAATGCCTTTGGAATCATGTTCTGCACCATCTGAAATTTTAAGAAATGTTGTCATTTTAACTTTTGTAGCTGTATTCTTACTTGGATTTTTAACATACATACATACATACAGACACACACACACACAAATATTCTATTTTTATGTATACACACACACATACTCCTGATGCTTATCAGCAGCAGTTTACAAGTTAAAAAACAAAATCCCCAAGCATAAAAAAGAACTTATTCCAAAGCAAAGAAATAAAAATTCAGAGTTAAGGTTACAATTCATGGGCTAACACAAAAAAAAATAATTAAAATTACAGTTGATGAAAGGGTTCAAAGATGAGTCAACAGAACATTTACAGAGCAGCAATGGCTAGACTTCTCTCTGCCTATCAGTGACAGCTTTTTCCTAATGCTTCCAGATTCCCTCAGGAGGAAATCTCATTCCAGACAAGCCAGAGAGGCTCCTTCCTTGCCCTACCAATTTAGTTTCTCTCTCTCACAACTGTCTATTCCAGCATGGTAATTTCTACTCAAAATAGCAACATAAATGATGTTAAGCTAATGAATTCATGCTTTATCATGACTATTTGACTCTCAAAATATGCCCCAAGAGCAAGAAGCCTGTCGGTGCTAGTGTTTTTTTTCCTTTCCTTGCAGCTTTGTAAGACAAAGAGAAAATTGTAGGAGGTTTTAAAATAAAGCTTATCCTAACTCACATAAATGTTAGTTCACATTTGCACCACACTGCACTGAGATGTCCCATGTTCTACTGTCTTACACACAGCAGTTCACCCAATAGTCACTATTCACACTTATCACGACCCAATAAAGTCAGCTATACACACATGTAGAC